AAAAAGAATTTTTCTACATCTAAAGCTCTGTAACCTTAATAATATAGGCAAACATCTTTTCATGACATTAAACATAGGTCTTCTTATCTTTTTCTGTGATTGCATAGTATTCCTTTGACTGAATGGAGGAAAATAGACATAATAACCTTCTATTGGTGAACCTGTGTTGGTTCAAATAATCTGAATGCTGCAACAAGTGTTCCTGTATTTTCACCTGTATACACTCTTCTAATTTCTAAAGATAAAAACCTGTGAGTGGCGTTTCTAGTTGAAAGGCTATAAAATTCTCCAAGGCACATGACAATATTTGGCTAGATTGGCACTCAGAAGCAGCTGAACAAATCAACATTTCCAATGACCAATTACTTCTGTCCTTGTCAAATGATAATGATATGCCAAATGTTATAACTCACTGCTCAGTTAATTGTATGTGTTTGTATAGTGAATGGCTAGAAAGCTATTTTTACATAAAGATATTAAAGTTATATATTTCTTTTTTTATATAAAAAATTTTAAAAAGTGCTCTTAACTAGTAAATGAGGAGATAGAGATGAAGCCATGGGTTGGGTATTTGCCAAGTTGATAGGGAGGAGGCCATTCCAGCAGGGTGTGGCCCCTCCAAGGGCACTTGGAGAGAGGTGGTTGGAGTAGGAGCAGGTGCAGTTGGAGGATCCAGTAAATGGAAAGTCAGGAAATGGAGACTGCAGATGAAGGCAACTCTTTGGAGAAGTTCAGCTATGATTGGAAGAAGGGACGTGCTGAGGTAGCCAATGGAGAAACAAATATTAAGAAAGTCTTGAATTTTTAATTTTTTTTTTTTTTTAAGATGAGAGTAGTTGTATGTTTATATGCTGGTAAGCAAACAGCAACAAAAGAGAAGATGAAGCTTTGGGAGACAATCCACATCCAAATTCTAACAATGACACTCTGAAAAAGGCAAAACCATGGGGACAGAAGTGAGATTAGAGGTTGCCACAGGCTAAGGTGTGAAGAGGAGGGAGACTGATGGCAAAGGGCCACCAGGGACCCGAAGGGAATCATTGAAATGTTGTCTGTATTGATGGAGGTACTATAAGTACCACTCGATCTTTTCTCAAACCCATAAAACTTTACAATTAAATTTATACTTTAATTAAACCAACTTTAAAAATTTCACCTTTAAAAATGTGAAAAATAAATGAGAAAAAAAATATACCCAAATCAGTTATTATCTGGGACTCAGTGTGAGCTCCAAACCCATTCTCTGGACACCGCAAGTCATCAGAGTTTTTTGGTGACACTTTTCCAGATCTGCAATCTGATGACTACAGCTTTCCTCCTTTTTGGAAACATTAGGAGGTGGGAGTGATGTCATGAATCTAATGATTCTTTAAGAGTCCAAAATACTAGGCAGATAGGAGAAATCCTCAAGGACTGAGGTTGTTTGTCTGTCTCTGGCTTCTTGTGCAGCCTCTGGGGAAGTTTGGTGTTAGGGCCTCTCAATGCTAATTAGCTCCTGAGTGGAGAGAACACTGGGACAGATTCTCTGGGCCCCTGCCTTGCTCCCTTTATTAAGCCTATTGGAGACAGGCGACCTTGGGTCAGCTTGGCACTCACTGCCCTCTGAGAACCACCCCCAGGTGTCCAGCTCATTCGCAGGAAGGTAAGTGCACCACAGGCCTGCCCAGAGCTCCAGGTGTTCTACTCACTCATGATCTTCAGGTGGCCTCTTCCTGATCTATAGGAGAATGGTAGTAACTATAATGATGAGGTTTTCATTCTAAGTCACTGGAAGAGAAGGGAAAATGAACATATATGCCTAATCTACGTATTCATATACATGGCAAGGTTCCTGGCAGACAGCAGGAATTGGCTGAAAATGAATAAGTTCTCTTCTCAGAACATAATCTGACATATGTGACCTTAGTCAAGTTAATATTTTTGAACTTGACTTTTCTCATCAATCTGGCAATAGATGGCCAATAGTTTTTGCAGAACAGGAGAGGATGGAGGTGTTGGGAGCATAAGGGCTCACCTATGGTAGCCTGTTAGCATAATCTGTGTTTTGTGCTACTGATTCTGAATGGTTCTCTCATGACTCAGGACAAACTATTCTTCTTAATGCTTCTTATTCCTTTCCATATATGAAAATACTGGAATGAGTCAGGTTACCGTTGTCTGTGATGTCACAGGAGGGCAAGCTCCAGTAAAGATTGGGCTGAATAAGGAAAATCACTTTAAGAAGTTGGGATGATGAGATGGACCTGAGAATTGAGGGTTGGATTTTTGATGTACAGAAGGGGGACATACTGACGGTGGGGGTGGGGTGGGAAGCACTAGTTAGCAACAGAGAGTGGCCCAGCTTATGCAAGCATCCAGAAGAAGGAGGCCTTGAAGTTTGGAAAATTGTCAAATGCAAGTATTTCAATATTCTAATTTTTACTTGGAAGCTCAATTTTATCATTGCAACAAGTACTTTCTGTTGTTTACTTAGAGGACTTGCTCACTTGGTTTATTTTTAAGAAAACACAATCAAATACAGAAATACAAATAAATAGAGTTTATTGGTCAATCATCCTTTCAAATAAAAATAGTTTTCCATTAAAATGTTAGCTGTTTAATTATCATTACAAACAATCACATAGTATTTTTTCTTAGATAATTGCACTTTAGTATATAGTAGAAATGCTTTATGAATACATTCCATTTCATCAGTCAATGTATTAAAATATGTTACCATAAGGGTTGAGGTGTTTTTATTTTATTCCTAACTGAAGATGATGGCTGCTGCTGCTCCTGCCTCCCCCTACCCCTCACCTACCACACCTTCTTTTTTTGCATGTATATTGTACTGAGGAGTACAAACACCATGGTTCAGTGTCAGTGTTGTGATTCCTGCTAAGACACTCATAGTTTCACCCACAGCTGATCTTGTACCATCAGGCCAAATATCAGCACAGTGAAAAACAGCCAGAGAGAAAATCCTTGCATAATTTTGAAAATAATTTTAACACACAAACTGGCTGAGTGATGCACAGAGTTTCACAATTCTCCATGGATAACACTTGGAGAACTGCTGCTCTGTAGTCTAGTCAAAGGAGGAATATCTATGCCTGTAACCAGTCTTAATGTGTCCCTGGAGACATTCCAGAAATTCCCTTTGGCATTTTATGTATTTTTTACTTTATTTTATTTTTTATTTGTACAGTAGAGAAAAGGGTTATCTTTTAAAAATATTATTTAATGAATTAGGCCAATATTTGGAAGATCTGTAGGTCAGTGAATCAATACTTTCCAATGACCAAGGACTTGATGATACAGAGTCATATAATTGGTTAAAGATGCATTAAAAATGCAGGATACATTAACGTGTTTAAAATTGAAAAGTTTGTTGAGTTTTTCAGATTCCACATTGCAACTATCATTTGTTGAATTTTGTATCAAAATAGAATATCCATAAATATCTCATAAGGATATTAAAATCTATTATCCTATTTCACATCTGTTTGATTCCCGATTGTCTTTATAGATTACCAACCAAATGAGCCATTACAGGATGTTAGGTAAAAATACAGATAGAAAAATTGTAGATGTGATGTTCATGTCTTCCCAGCTCCCATGAAGGGATGTGATGGTGTGAGGAGGGGAAGAAAGGAAGTTGGAGAACAATTGAGAGGCTACTGGAATAATCCATGTAGACAGCCAGCATCGTCTGCGTTGATGGTAGCTGTAGAGGCAGAAAGTGGTTCCAGTGAGAAAAGAGATTTCAAGACAAGGACTGTATAGTTTAATAAAACAATTTTACATGTAAAAAAGAAATAAGGAGGCCTTGAAGACCGCTCCCCAGTTACACTAGGGTTCACTCCTCAATCGTTTCCAGGTACCTGTACATATGTGATGGAGTGGAAGCCACCTCAATGCTCTCAAGGACTTCAATTCCTCCCTTTTCCCTTGGAAAAGCTCCTGATCCCACCTCCCTGACAAGCATGCACAAAATCATCTGTTTTCCTGGTGACATTTATTAGCAACTCATCTTCCCAGTTTCTCAGCCCAAGAACCTTAAAATCATCTTGTACCTTCTCTTCCTCCCACACCTCATGACCAGCATGTTAGATTTATCATCAAAATATACGTAGGGGCTGGGGTTGTGGCTCAGTGGTAGAGTGCTCGCCTAGCATGCATGAGGCACTGGGCTCGATCCTTAGCACCACATAAAAACAAGATAAGGTGTCCATCTAAAACTAAAAAAATACATACATAAATAAATATGTTAGAAAAATATACCCAGAGTACCATGACCTTCAACAAATAATTGAATGAAAGGATAAAATAATGGGGTCTTGGCTTCCTTGAATATTTGTAGACATCCTAATACCTAAAACTTTTGAAATTCCATCATTTTCTTTATTATAGACAATTCATTCATAAATCCTCAACAACAACCATGTCCAAGCAATATAGCATTAAAGTGTAGGCTAGAAGGCAGAAAGTTCTAGGCCTGAGACACGATTCTGTCCGGAGTTTGATGATCTTAGGTCCTTATTTAACCTTTCTAAATCTCGGTGTCCTGATTACATAGAAATCCTAGTAGTTACTCCATAAAGTTTTTATGAGAATTTAAAAAAAATGAAGTGCTTATTTTAACACTCAGAGTATACAGTTTAAAATATTAATATTTCCCCAAATTCCACTGTCTGCTTCCCGCTCCTCTTTTTCCTTAATCTTTCTCATGTCTCTTGTTTTCATGGGGTCTTGTCCTCCTGTCCTGGGTCTCTGGAATAATTCCCTCTGCTCCAGGCCCTTTTCTTGGGATTCCCTGCATCTCTCTCTTAACCAGTAACTAAAGTGTTAATGTCTGGCATGGTGAACCTTCAGGAACCTGGCCTCAGTGTAAGCTAGTATCTCTCCTGATTTGGAGTTGTTCTAGCTGGAGCACTCCACCATCTAATAGACATAGATTATGTGCCTACTGTGTGTCACTCTCTACCTTTTCAGGTCTAAGTCTCCTCTTCTCAGTACAGCTTCAGCAGTGGCCTATGGATCCTGGTGCCTGGGGAAATAGGACAGGTGTCACTGAGTTCATCCTTCTTGGACTGACAGGAAATAGAGGACTGCAACCCATTCTTTTTGTCATTTTTTTCTTTGCCTATTTAATCACAGTGGGGGGCAACTTCAGCATTCTGGCTGCCATCTTTGTGGAGCCCAAACTCCACACCCCCATGTACTACTTCCTGGGGAACTTGTCTCTGCTGGACATTGGGTGCATCACCGTCACTGTTCCTCCAATGCTGGTGTGTCTCCTGGCCTCCCAGTGCAGAGTTCCCTATGCTGCCTGCATTTCACAACTCTTCTTTTTCCACCTTCTGGCTGGTGTGGACTGTCACCTCTTGACTGCCGTGGCCTACGACCGCTACCTGGCCATCTGCCGGCCCCTTACCTACAGCACTCGCATGAGCCGTGAAGTCCAGGGTGCCCTGGTGGGCATTTGCTGCACTGTCTCTTTCATCAATGCTTTGACTCACACAGTGGCTGTATCTGTGCTTGACTTCTGTGGCCCTAATGTGGTCAACCACTTCTACTGTGACCTCCCTCCCCTTTTCCAGCTCTCCTGCTCCAGCATCCACCTCAATGGGCAGCTACTGTTTGTGGGAGCCACCTTTATGGGAGTCATCCCCATGATCCTTATCTCAGTGTCCTATGCCCACGTTGCTGCTGCAGTACTACGGATCCGCTCGTCTGAGGGGAGGAAGAAGGCGTTCTCCACATGTGGCTCCCACCTCACTGTGGTCTGTATCTTTTATGGAACTGGCTTCTTCAGTTACATGCGCCTGGGTTCAGTCTCAGCCTCAGATAAGGACAAGGGGATTGGCATCCTCAATACTATCCTCAGTCCCATGTTGAACCCAGTCATCTACAGCCTCCGGAACCCTGATGTGCAGGGCGCCCTGAAGAGGGTGCTGACAGGGAAGAGGCCCCCAGCATGAGCCTGACAAGAGTATCAAAATGTCCCTCCCTCCTTGATCACCCATCTAACTTGCTTATGCTGAAGGCCTGGGAGCGGGCAGGGGAAATGGTTCAGGGTAGACTTGGATTGAGGACAAATGCTAAAGAGCTTAGGCAAAAGAGTATCCAAGTTACTGATAGAAAATGGACTAAAGACGGATGGGAGAAAAATTATAATGTGGGTCAGGAAATGAGAGATGAACTATTTTGTGGGGTTTTGTTTTAAATTTAATGACTGTTCACCTGACATATTTAAAATGTTAATAAAAAGAAAAATGCTTGTCCCCACTTTTAGATGAGCTATATTTGTATAAATATTATTTGGTAATTTTTTTTCAGTTCCTTCTTTGAGAAATAAATCTAGGATTATAATGTTAAATTGGGGTTTGACATACTGTAGGAGCAGAGTGTTGGTATCTGTCAGAGCATCCTGCCGACACCTTCTTCAGAACAGGATCATCAGACACCTATTCCCCAAACCAGCGTTCACTTCCTGACTAACTCAGGTGTAGGCAGAACACACTTACATGCTAGTGTATGAGCTGATTCTCAAGACCCTCCTCCAAAACCATGAGGATGTTTTATTACGCAGGTGTGTGAGGCCCTCCATCTTTTCTTCCTAGCCCCTCCAACTCGATTTTTATCTCTCAACCACAGGCTCTTTCAGGTGACTCATGCCTCCCTTTGCTTAGAGTCACTACTCTTAATCTTCTCTGTGGCTCACAAAGAAACACACTGTCACAATCATTTCAGTATTTCTTGCAGCTTCCTTTGCTCTCTCCAACTAGATCCTAAGCTCCTTAAGGACAGCTTCCATGCATTATATTACACCACGTCCTCCAAACACCCAGCTGAGAGCTGAGTAGATAGTCCAGGTTCCAGCAGTCTTGTGGATTAACTGATAGTAGGAGGCATGACCTATGAGAAGAGACTTATCTTCTATCAGAGGTCAGTGAAACTGCCAGATGTTTTCAAAACTCCCTAGAAGATCCAATATTAGGATGATATAAAGATATAAAAGGAAATTTTTTTAAAAAAAGAAGTTTTCTTCTGATGCAGCAAAATGATCACTA